GACACACAGATAAATTCAAATAAATTCAGTCAATAAGTATATATTACCCATGATATGTCAGGTTGTGCTACATTCCATGAATACAAGGTTTACCTAGACAATTATTCACACATATTTATAGTATACATAGATAGAGATTTCAAAGTGCTTTTAGAATTCACGGAAGGAACTCCTAACCCAGATTTGAGGTGATCTACAAGAGCGTGACATAAATGGTAATTTTTAACTAAGGCCTAAAAGACAACTAAGAGTTAGCAAATCACAGATTGGTGGGGACACAGGCAGGGATGGGGAAGATAGGCACGGGAGGGAATGTTTCCACAGAGGATTCATAGCTGAGAGAAAACTAATGTGCCAGATGACCCTTTCAGTCTTAACACCAGAAGCATCTAAAATAACTTTTTAAAGATATTAAAAGTGATCATCCATTTTTGAATTTGTGATAATTGAAGAAATCCTCACTAGTGTGAGGCACGTGTTGATGGGCTGACCTGCTAGGCTGTGCGTGGCCAGTGGTCCTGTCAGTCCAAAGTGGCAGATGATATAGACGAGAGTGGATAATGCCAGTGAACTTCACTGCACTCACGGACAGGCACAGGTCATGATTGCTTCTGGTCATTTGTGTGTTTTGGTGAGTGCAGTAGAGATTGGTTAGCAATTCTCCAAACCCATCTCCCTCTGTTCCTGGGCACAGAACTGTTCTGAATTTCCCCAGAAATTTCTCCTTTTCACTTGGGCCTGACTACATGGACAATTCTAGACAATTGAATGTGGTCAGACAGGATATATGCTGCTTCCAGTTCTGGTCCACTAAAACCCGTCTCCAACTTCTTTCTTTCCTTGACTATCAGCAGGATGTCAGTGCTCAGCGAACTTAGAAACCCTGGGTTAATAATGGGAGAATCTTCATTGGCCCAAATGCCTGAATGATTATTGCCTGGTCCTTCCTGCCTCTGAGCACTTGAGGGACTAGAAATAAATTTTCATGGTCTTAAATAACTGAAATTTCATGATTTATCTATCATAACGCCTAGTATAACTGTAACTAATAGCATGACTATGTCTTTTTTTTCTTTTTTAATAATCAGTGTATTTGAAAATTAAGGTCTAGAAAAACTTCACTCCAGAATAGGTCAGGCTCAAGATAATCCTAAATACTATAGAGTTAGTATAGTGGTGGTAGCAAAGAATTCTCACAACTGTTGGTAATAATTTAATTATTTCTTTAAATATATTTTCTGGTAGGATATGTTTTATGTATGTAAAGGTATTTTATTTATCATTCTATTTAGAGTGTCTGGTTTGATGATTATAGCTGATCAACACGTGTACATGAAACGAATCAAGTTGTATCAGCAAGGTGGAGGTGTGGGCAGGAGTCCGGCCAAACAAAGGTTTTAGCTATAACTATGTTAAAGAATTTGGACATGATCCTGCGACAATGGGGAGTCACTTAAGTAGTTAAGGAGAGAGTGATAGTAACCAGATTTTGTCTTTGGGAAGATCACTATAGTCAAAATAAGTTTTGCCACCTGAAAAGGTTTAAAACAAATGAGGAAACTCAGTCTGGAGGCTCCTATAGTAATCAAGGTATGAGACAATCATGCTATAGGTTAGTGGCCCCAGGAAGGCAGACAATAAATACAATTTAAATATATCTAGAAGGAAGAATTGACAGAACTAGATGATCATCTAATTGGGAGCATTGAGAGAGTAGGAGACCAGAATGACTCCTAGTTTGTCGTCTGGGTGACCAGGTGGGTGGTGGCACTGATATGACCAAGTTAGTGAGCCCGGGGAAAGGGAACAGTGGGAAGTTACAGTTACCATAGTGAATTATACTCTTCTCTTCAAGATAATCCTATCTTCTTCTCAGCATTTGGGTTTTGCACCTGCTAATCTCTCTTCTTACAATGTTCTAAAGCCAACCCTATTTCCACCCAGTTCCTCTTACCTTCCCCGTTTTCTCTGTTATTTGCCACCTGTTTTTCTGTACTTGAATAACTTCTGTTCATCTGTTACATCTCAGAGTAGACACCATTTCCTGTGTGAAACTTTCCTAGGATCCCCAAGATAGGATATGGTGCTTTCTTAATGTGTTTTTAGGACTCCATGCAACAGCGTAACACATAACATTGTATTCACCTGTGTACTTTTCTTTCTAAGCTTCTCTACCCACTGCTAATAGAAGACAGGAACTATCCCTTAGCATTTGGTCCCCAGGGCCCATTATAATGCTTGTGTCAGAATAAGAACTCAAAATTCAAATGTAACCAGGAATAAATGAATGAACGAATGAAGGGAGTGAAACAATTTTGAAGGGCACAATATTGAAACCAACTAATAACATTTGCTTTCACGCTGTCTGTTTCTGTTTGAGATTTGCAGCATGCAGTTCGCACAGATGGCCGTGAGATTGCAATACTCTCTACATATTTACTCTGTTCCTCCCCCGCTCTTACTCTCTCCCCACTCCCACCCAACCCCCCACCAGGAATGGTCTCGAATCGCAAATGACTCCACTATTCCCTTAAGCATCTGTCTCTGATCACAGTGTGAGTCCACCAATCTTGTAATAGACTCCACAAGTGTTTTCCTTGGGTTAAAAAACTCATCAAAATTAATACTAAATTGAAAATGGGAAAGTTCATAAAAGGCAGCTGTTGTGTAAGTAAAACATGAATGTATCCTGGCAAATAATAAGTTCTAAAGTTTCTCGATTTTCCAAACTACTAAAGAATAAAAAGGGGGCAAACCGGACACCCCTCCCATTCCCACCTGTCAAATACAACTAATCTAACTTACAGAGTGATATAAACTCACTTTGTTTGTATTACGAACAAAGCCACCAAACTGAAATAAGCATAGCAATGAAGAAAAGAGCTACAGACTTGAATGGAATCCTAGTGAGTAGGATACAGAGTTCAGTAGCAATGGGTCTGGATGAGGACACAGGACAACTGTGTACAAGGCACATGCAACAACAGCTACGTAGTCTTCAGCCTTGCCAATCCAAGCGTGGTGTGTGCACCTGCAGCACTGGTTTCAGCTGGGAGTTTGTGAGGAGTGCAGGCTCTCAGGCCCCTCCCCAGTCCTACTAAATCAGACTGCAGTTTAACAGGATCCTCAGGTGATTGGTATGGACCTTAAATCTTGGGAGGCTTTGCTCTAAATCATAGCATTTATGAATTCATAAGTCATAGCTCAGATGAATTCATTGTAAGGTCACTTTAGAGTTTATTATCCAGATTAGGACATTTTTGAGAGTGAAATGGAAGTATTGAAATAATTATAATTATAGGGGCGTCTGGGTGGCTCAGTCAGTTAAGCATCCGACTCTAGATTTTGGTTCAGATCATGATCCCAGGGTCATGGGATTGAGCCCTGCATCGGGCTCCACACTGAGTGTGGAGTTTGCTTGAGACTTTTCTCTCTCTTTCTCTCTCTCTCCCTCTGCCTCTCTCCCCCACTCACTCGAGCACTCTTTCTCAAATAAATTTTAAAAAATTTAAAAAAGAAATACTTATTACTGTATATATTTAAAACATTTGGTTATTAAGACAAATTAATTTTTATATAAATGGATCTATATAACAGTTATAGTCATGAACCATTTTTCTTTTATTTTTTAAATGTTTATTTATTTTGAGAGAAAGAGTGTGAGTGGGGGAGGGGTAGAGAGGGAGAGAGAATCTCAAGCAGGCTCGGTGTGGTCAGTGCGGAGCCTGATGTGGGGCTCAATCTCCCCAACTGTAAGATCATGACCTGAGCTGAAATTGAGAGTCAGATGCTTAACCGACTGAGCCACCCAGGCTCCCCAATCATAAATCATCTTTAAAAGTAAATTTCTTTTAAAAAATAGAAATGTATATTAGAGAAAAATTCTTTGTATGGAGCTGAATATTAAAATATAACATAACTGCTGGATTAGAGTATGACCCTATGCTTATTCTAAACTCAGGTTTACTTTAAAATATACGTAGTACACATGTAAGTATAGAAATGTGTGTTTACACTGGTAACTATAGATACATGTGTCCTAGCTCCATCTGCTGAGATGGTCTGGACACAGTGATACCGAGTCACAACAAATATACCTAGTGTCAAGATCTTGACTTGTCAACACCATTCTCCAATAAGAGAAATGAGGGTCCTTTGAAGAGATTAACTCTAGGGCTGGGTCAAGGAAAATATAAGATGAGTTCCATAGAAATAGGTTGTGAAATTAGGCATTCTGAAGCATGTAGTATCTCATAGTGCCAGACTATAAGGAAATGGCTTAAAAAAAAAAAAAAGTTGCACCTACCTTAAAGAGTTGCCCATAGCACCATAGCAAAAGCTAGAACGATGTGAACAATGAAACAGTGGTAGTGCAATCATCCTTCCATTATCCAATGGAAGGGTTATACAAGATCCCCAGTGGATGTCTGAAACCAAAGATAGTACCAAATCCTATTTTTGGTATGTTTTTTCCTATACATACACACCTGTGATAAAGTTTAACTTATAAATGAGGCACAGTAAGAGATTAACAACAACAACAACAATAAAATAGAACAATTATAACAATACACTCTAACAAAAAGTATGGGAATTTGGTCTTTCTCTCAAAATATCCAATTGTTCTGTACTCACCTTTCTTCTTGTGACGATGTGAGATGATAAAATGCCTGCGTGATGAGGTGAAGTGACGTGAATGACGTAGGCACCGTGACAGAGCGTTAGGCTACTATTGACCTTCTGACCTTATGTCAGAAGGAGAATCATCTGTTTCCAGACCCTGGTTGACTGCGGGTAACTGAAATCAGAAGGTAAAACCACGGATAAAGGCACACTACAGGTTATATGACAGAGAACAAAGTAAATAGCCCTAAGTCTGTACTGATATAAATAAATGATTGGATAAATACATACGTGGAGGAGAAGGGGTGGGCTTTCCTCTAAGAACTTCAATAATCAATATAGAAAGAATGAGAGAAATAAAGAGCTATGCCACACTAACAGTTGCAGCAGGCAAGACCCCTCTGAAAGCTAAAATCAGTGGGTGAAACTTTTTAGAGAAACAGGATGTACACATTGCCTCCAAGTATCTCCCCACAGATGTGCATTAACTATATAGTGATTTTAATGTAGGTCCACAAATGTTTTGATACTTCTCCCTTCAGGAAGTAGAGCTTAATTCCCTATCCCTGGAATGGTGACCAGCTTTAGTGATTCACCTCTAATGAATGGAGAGTGGAAAGGAGAAAAAAAAAAAAAAAGGTAATTTTACAGTGGAGAACCTGGCATATACAACTCAGTCAAGTGGTCAAGGTTAACATCACCAATGATAATTGGGTTGATATCAGACGTCTCCTGATAAGATGTAGTGAGAAACATTTTGCATTTCTGCTATTCTTCCAAATCTGTAACACCAGGGAAAAAATCATAAAAAAACTCAGGCAAACTCAGATTGAGGAATCCAACAAACTATGTGACTAATAGTCTTCAAAAATATCAAGGTCATAGAAAAAAGTATCTAATATGTAGAGTATAATCTCAGAAAGAAATTGTTAATGAGATACTTTCATTTATTTAAAAAAAATTTTTTTTTAAGTTTATTTATCTTTGAGAGAGACAGACAGTGTGAGTGGGGGAGGGGCAGAGAGAGAGGGAGACACAGAATCCGAAGCAGGCCCCAGACTCTGAGCTATCAGCACAGAACCCGATGTGGGGCTCAAACTCACGAACTGCAAGACCATGACCTGAGCTGAAGTCAGACGCCCAACTGACTGAGCCACCCAGGCGCCCCTACTTTCATCTGTTTTTAATCAAAACATGCAAATATGTTGGCCCATATATCCACAGAAGGACTATTTTTTGTTTCAATTTAACTGCCTTCTTTTGACAAATGTATTTTAAAGAAAAATTATCATATAATCTATCTCTTGTTTTTTGAATATGAATGGAAGATCATCAACCTTCTTTGATTCCCTTGCAATAGAAAATAAAAATTGATCCAATTGCAAATAGAAGCTCCAACAGAAAAGCATTCCCCAAAGTTGGGATATTACAAAATGCGATTATAGCATTTAAAGAGTGAATCTTGGACAGTTTTAACTCTTAATGTTTAACAGATTTAGATTCTCAATTCTGTATGATAAATTTCATGTATTTTTATTAGCTTCTATGAAAACATTTGAGACTCCATTCATTGAATATATTGAATAAAGAGTTCCAAATTGTTTTGGTTTAAATACAAACAAAATTCAAAGGAATTGGTAAAAAAAAAATTCAATACCGTTATCTAACATATATGTGGGTATACAAAGAATTTCTTCAAATTAGTAATTCAAACATTTCTAAAATCTGCTGAGGGGAAGCAGAGAGAAATGGAGAACGGCCATGCAATGACTATTTTGCATTCAACATAAGCTTTATCACAAAAATTTTGTTCAGTTATTCAACTATTGGTATATACACATATATACATAAGCTTTCAAATTAAATTAAATTATCAATTACATTTAATTTACATTAAAAGTATATATATATATATTTTTTTTTAATTTCCCCAACTATGACTTCTATTTCAACTGATAGAATGTTGTAGCTTATTTTCAAAAGTTCTAAATTATATGTGCACTGTACCAATCTCAATAATGAACTTAATATGGATCACCATTTGATTGAAACATAAAGCCAAGCCAGGGTAATACATATATACCCTCCACGACTGCACACACTGAGTCATCATCTTCAGGCCCAATGAGTTAAATAATGACTAAATTTGAAGTCAATCCTAAGGATTCTTTCTTTTTTAAGTTTATTCATTTGTTTTGAGAGAGAGACAGGGTGCACTAGGGGAAGGGCAGGGAGATAGGGGGAGAGAGAATCCTAAGCAGGGTCCATGCTGTCAACACAGAGCCCAACGTGGGGCTCAAACTCACGAACCATGAGATCATGACTTGAGCCAAAATCAAGAGTTGGACACTGAAACTACTGAGCCATCCAGGTTCCCATTGCTAAACATTCTTGAGCAGACTTATGTGATTTGATTTTGCATGGTTTATTATAACTTGACAGCTTCCTTGGTGAAAGGTAGGTGCCAAAGAATCATTTGAGGAATTACAGCTTCATTATCTAGCTTTCCTGAGAGGTGCAAACTTAAGTTCTTAGTTTTTTACATCAAATATATTTTGTTTTAAGCATTTTGCTGTGAAAATGACATATTGCTACGTAAAATGATGTTACCAAACAACAAAATAGATAGCAACTACGTATTTATACCCTATACGACTATATACTGAGTGATAAAACCAGAGTAAATAGAGCACTCAGACTATTGTCTACCTGTAACTTTGACCAGATATTTTTCAGCATATTCTGTACTGGAACTAGTAATTCCTCACGTTCTTCACAGCTCTCATCACCTAGTGGGGCTCTGTGCATCTTGGAGGTCAGAGCACAATTATACCCAACAGTATGCAGGGGTAGTGTTTCCAAATCTTCTCCCACAGGCACTGAAACACAGAAGTATTAAGTTGTTCCCAGATGCTTCTCTCCAAAGGTGCTTTATCATAGAGTACCTTACATGTTGTCCTTGAAAAGGTGTTAGTTACATTGCCTCTGGAAGGGGTCATTGCAAAAGGCAGATTATCTCTGATTGTCTTTCAGCTTTAACGACGGGTTAAAGAGAAAACTTTTCACTGTACATGCACCTTACCCACACTAGTAGTGGAAACAGTGTTAGAAGCCAGAAATACAAATGAAATCTGCGGAATCCATCCCAGCTTATTTGGATGTACCTCTTGATAATAAAACTTACTGTGAAAAATCTAAGATATATTCCAAGCCAGGCCAAAAAATGTCCCAGGCAGAATGGGCAGCTCAGGCAACTCCAGTGTCAGTGGACAATAAAATGGTGTCAGGCAGACCTGCAACATGATCGTAAGGGGTTTGGCTCGAGGTAGAGGGAGTGAGATCTGGGGCCTCGTGGAAAAGGGTAGCAAAGGCTTTAAGACAGATGACTGGGCTCAAGACTTGGCTCTACTGCCTCTATCGTTTGGGGAGCTCACTCAACTGCTCTAAGCCTCGGTTTGTTTGTTGGTAAAATAGTCACTGCAGTACTGATGTGGCAGGGATAACACGGCTCAACGCTACGTAGGTGTAATATCACATTCTTCTGCTCGCTACATTAAATTGAATCTGCTCCAAGCCTCCATTGACAAGACTGACCGGGAATTTAATCTGAGCATTATGGGAACTCCCTCCAACTTCCAGGATGAGGAAATTGACGGATTATTATGCAATCCATTACCTGTGAGAAAGACCCTTTAATTTCTGTTTCAGACTTTAACTCAGAGCACATGTTGATGCTTCTCCTCTGAGTCCCTACACAAATTGAAAAAGACACATCTGTTGCTTTTGTGCCAGGAAAGAAGGAATACTTGAAGGAGCTAAATCATCAAATCAGCTAGAGGGAATGAAAAGCTGAAGTGGAAGGAATGGCATTGATTAAAATCAGGGACAATTCACCCATTATAGCGGGAGGAAGGATTCTGAGGGTGCACCCAGGTGTATCTGGGAGGATCTTGATATGAACACCTTCCTATTAATTCCTTTGTCTTGAATTTCCCGCTCTCCTCTTCAGCTATTTTCTTACAATTTCTATGCTAATCTCCTTCCTTCTTTCTTCATCTGAATCATCTCCTCTTTCTAAACTAGCCATGATATCGAGTATACATTCTTTTATGTATTATAAAGTTTATGTCCCTGTTACTAATTTTAAAAGATGATTTCATCATTGCATATTTTTTTCATAGACATAACAACATTGTATTTTATTTACGTGATTGTTTTCCTGAGGGTCATTGAATCCTGGTAGGAAAAGAAAAGTTCCGCACTTAGTGAATTTCAAACATTTACATCATCTGCAATCAAGTTATGTCATATGTAGGAAGTGGGATTAATGATCAAAGAAGTGAAGCAAAAAGTGCTGACATTCTTCTTGAATATAAAGATAAAAATCATTTGAAATTAATATATTACTTACCTGCAAAATGGGGCTGCTAGGTTCTTGAAAAGTTTATTTTCCTTCAGTCCTATTTATTCTTTTAATATACTGAGCAAACTCTTTTTTCTAGATAGTGCCAAAGTAAACTTTTACCCAGCCCGCCTCTGCTTTTTATGGTTCTCTGAATTAAGATTTACTAAGTTCCAGACAGATATACTGCTTGGTGCAGGGTTGTTATCAGACAACATTCTGCTTCACGATTGGGTCCACAGTCATCAGCTGAGACGTGATAGTTTAGATGCTGTATCCTTTATGGCTATCATCCATGTTTGTTAATAACATTCATGTCTCCATCAAGTTCCAAGAGACTTACTAGTTTCAGGGTAACAATTTCTGCTGTGCTGCTACACATTTGTAGAGTTTGGCTGGGCGCCATAACAAAATAAACTTCTGTTGTTTCGAGTCACCAAGCTTGTGGTAATTTGTTACAGTAGTCATGAGAAAACAATATGCTCCTTTTTCTCTACCTCCAGAGATTGTTTGGGCTAGACTTAAATATATCAGAGCAAGAAAAAGTAGCTGGAATTTTAGCTAACAGGTCCTAGTATTTTTCCTTCTGGTTTAGTGGAGAAAGGAACTTGATGTGGAGAGGTAATCTGAGAACAAGGCTCAGGTCTCTGGATCTCACCCATTAGCTTTGCGACTTCGGGCACTTAAAGTCTCTGCCCTTAATTCTGCCTGGAAACGAGAGGGCTCCATCGTATTAAAAGATTTTCAAATATTGTTCACAGATTCCATAATGACTTAATTTTTAGTTTTAATTTCAATACTAAAACACGTGTTGAATTATTTTTAAATTATAGGTTTTAAACACCAAAATGTGTCATATACGTGATAGCAACTTTGAAGACCAATTGAGAATTCAATTCTGCTACCAGCTTAATTTATTTTGGTGTCGACTGCAGAATACTTGCTGCCATTCCCTCTTTATTTATTATTTATTTATTAAAATTTTAAAATGTTTGTTTATTTTTGAGAGAGACAGAGAGAATGAGTGGAGGAAAGATAGGGAGAAAGACACGGAATCTGAAGCAGACCCCAGGGTCCGAGCTGTCAGCACAGAGCCCGATGCAGGACTCGCACCCATGGACTGAGAGATCATGACCTGAGCCGAAGTCGGACACTTAACTGACTGAGCCAGGCGCTCCTTTTCCCTCTATATTTAATTCAGTGATTTTCATTTGTGGTCAGTGGAGGATTATATAAAATACTCTCGGGTTGCTTTGCCAAAAAACCCTAGAAACCCATGGCCGTCTTAAGATATTCTGATGTAGTAGATGTTAGTGTTCTGTAGAGGATTTAAATCCCACAGACAATCTGAAGAACCAGTATAAACTCTCATTCTTTTTTACGACCCTTCCTAGACCATTCGACTGGTGCTAATATTCTGA